AAAAAACTTGGTTTGCTGTTTCGGGCCAGGAGCTTTTCACTTCCAGTCAGCTGCATATGATCTATAAGGCACAGATCCGACCTGTCCTGGAATAACTGTGTCCATATTTGGAGTGCAGCACCCAAACATACCCTGAAACTGTTGGATTCTGTCCAAAAAAGGGCAATTCGTTTCGTGGGTGATGCCTCGCTCACAAACTAACTCACTTCTCTGGAACACCGTAGAAAAGACGGCGATCTGGCTCTATTTCATAGATATTTTCATGGACGGTGCTCTTCTGAAATATCAACAATTGTTCCTCCCTTGGCAGTCCACGAGAAATTACCCGTCGAGTTGAGGCTTCGCACACCTTCGTGGTCACTTTGAAGACCTGCAGAACATCTCTTTCCAAAGACTCGTTCATCCAACGAACAGCGAGGCTCTGGAACACATTGCCAAGGGAGGTGTTCCCCGAGGCATATAACCTCCAGAAATTCAAGAAGAACACCAATTCCTAACCTTATTTCCCTTGGTTTTCACGATGTTCTCTGAACATTACAGGATATCCCTTTTCGTGGGAACCAGAACATAAAAGAAAAAAGCAGCAAACAATTTTGGTCGGGCCTTATGCTGGCCAGAATTGGCCAGAACGGCAGAATTTCTGTGAACATTGATGGGCCAATACCAATAGGAGACTCTGACCGTTATCAGGGTTAGTAGAGGTCTGCCGATACATTCAATTAAAAAACGACTGCCCCGGGATTCGAATCCTGGTCCTCTGCTATTACTTTGTTACAAATATAGAACTTATATTTCAACTGAGCTACTACACCTATATTGAAATGATATGTGTATTCGGAATTCATTTACATAAAGAAACGATAAACAAAGGAAAACATCCGATTCTCCGAATTTCTGTCATACCTATTTTATGAGTCAGACGACTTGCCCATTTTTCTTATTGCCGAATTTGATGACTTTCATAATGATATTTAAATGCAAAAGGCAGAATTGCGCAGTGGTTGAGTGCTCGAATAGCAATCAGAACGCCGATAGGTTGTCAGGTTCGATTCCTGGCAGAGCGGATAATTTGTATTTATATAACAAGTGATATTTTCTCATTTTCGTAGCCTCGGCTGGAGATGAATCCGCACGATTCGCTGTTGCGTTCCAATTAACAGTGCTGCTCCTAAGGTGGCGTATGGAGTTAGTAACAAAGCCTACATAGAACACACATCGGTCGATGTCCAGTTGGTATGTAGTATATATACATACAAACGTAACGAAGTACATATACTTTCTCACTAACCTTAAGTCGATGGCCAGTTGGTATGTTTATACATATATACATACCAACAAAGTACATATACGTACTCACCTTATTTGTGCCCTATGAGCTCCAAAAACGGGGGTGCTTCCATAAAAAATGCGACAAAATTTCATTTTTCCGAACTGGAAATTTTCCAGGAAAAATTTGAATAGTCAGTAAATTGGGCGTCCTGATTCCAAATCTGAAGTGATTTTCGACCTATTTTGACTCCTAATATCATTTTCCAGAAATTGGGGTAGTTTCATGGCTGTTGGCGAGCAGTGCATATCACTGAAGATGACCCCACTTGGTCATAGAGTGCATTTTTGGTATATCTCTCGCTCCAGCAAATTTCAGGATCCTTACCCAACGATTACGTAAGATACAGGGGTGGTTCCATTAGAAGTGGATCACACTGTATCTGAAGAATAACAACTTATTCTTGAAATCTGACTGTGGAAAAATATGAGAAGAAGGCAATTTTTACTTTTTCGATACGTTGAAAGATAAATGAGATACAAGGGGGTCCCAAAATGGAACATTCTCAATGTCGCTCTGTATCTCAAAAACGAAGAGATATGAAAATTCCGTTGGCGGTATCGTGAGATTCACAAAAAAGTATCCACCGTTCACAAAAACCGCAAAACTCTATCTTTGAAAATAAGCGAGATATTCGGTAAGGACATCGAAAATGGGACGGCCTGTACAGTGTCTTTCATAATGTTGGCAACATATGAAATTATATTTTATTTCGAAATTCGACTTGGGCATCAAGTTTTGCTTCAAAAAAGATGAAAATTGGCCTGCTCTACTATCGCTACATGTCAAAAGATACATTTAAAATTAATCGCTGAAAATAGACCTATCTTTGAATGAATTTCTACAAATGTTACGAAGAAAAGTTGTTTTCATTTGAATTTTAACATTCTATTTAAACTTTCAGCTACCGATATTTTTGCAATTTGTATACTTAATGTCTAAAAAAAATTGGCACCGATAAAACTGCTTTATACCAGTAGCTTTATCATGTTACTAACTTCCGCAGTTATCTCCAAAAATATTTTTTCAGAAAATAATGATCCCCGCTTCAAATTTTTGATGTTTGATCAAAGTAATTACTAACTTTCTTGACTATTGTAGGAAGAAATTCACTTTTCAGATACTCTCTCCTGATGATAGCTCAGCGTCGAAAACGTTTGAGTTGATACTGATAAAAAAATGTTCTTCTCACCTTCTTAACGTATTCACCCAAATTTCAGGACTGTTTTTTCGAAGTTACAATTATATGAAATCCTAAAAATTCGAGTCATAAAAGTCGCAATAGAACGCTCGAAATGGAGACACATGTGTAAAATTAGAATTGAAACAACTTTTATCAGTAAACTTTTCTAAAATTGAAATGAATAAGCGTATTTTGAGCGATTGATTAAAAAATGTAACTTTGTAATGTAATGTTTCATCTCCTTCAAAGCAGAACTTAACGCCCGAATCGAATAACGAATAAACAGTTTTTTCCATACGATGCCAACTTTATGAAGGACACTGTGAGTATATATACATATTTTATTATTCCAGTAAACCTTTTCTACGAATAATATTATAAGTACCCTATCATTCTTTCCACCTTTACATGAAAGATGAAGCCTCTTTGCATACTATCTTCCACATACTGTTGTTCGCTATTAAGAATGCTTTAAATTTTGATTCGATTTAATACTGAATTATTAAACGAATTGCCCTTTTTCATTTTTTTGATATTCTAAAGAATGAAAATTGAAATATTCAACCAATCATGTAGGTAATCTTCACACTCATACCTTTTATGAATAAATTAACATTTTATCCTGCACCATCAAAACAATCATCATATTATCAGATCAACTTTCGATTTAATAATTCTATCAAGACCGTAATAGACACTTCCTCATACATAATTCATGGCGGATAAAAAATTGGAATGAAAACAATAGACATGGTTTGTTTTCGTTTTCATATCGCTCGGTAATATTGTACTAGGTACATTTGAAGATGACAAACGGATATCACTGCAACAATTAGTACTTAACTTTCTCTTTCAACGAGTGTCCAAGTAGGTACCTTTATGCTGTTGTCCAATTAAAAATAATAACTGACAAGGTTCTTGCCTCGACTAATGGCAGTTGTTGTATGGCGTAATAGAAGTAGTTTAAGTAGGTTGGTATAAAATAAGTAGAGCAAATTTTCATTCGAATGAAATACAATATTATTTTTCGTGCATGAAATACATATATCTAGGTACAGAGTGTTTGGTAGATGCATTTAGGGTAAACAAATTGAATTTCAAGAATGGTTCGACTGGATTTTTTAGTCTCTCTCTCTCACACATAGAAAATTTTGCTCAAGTAGAATGTTTTGTAAAATTTGTGGAGGGTTTTCATGCCATGTGTTGTAGACGCAGTATTGGCTTCAGACAGAGATCCTTTGAAAGCAATAGACAGATAGATAGATATATGTTTAACTACATTACCTAAAAAGGTATATGTTTGTAGAAAGTTCATCATCATTAAACTGATGAAAAGTCATTAGAAAACTAACATATCATACAGGGTGTTTCAGAATTAAGTATCAAGGTTTCAGGGGCTTTTTCCTATGAACATCTGTCCGCAAATGCTTTATTGCCAATATACAGAGCGAAGATCCTAGATTTTTTTTTATTCTTTATATCTCTTAGTCTTACCGATATTTAAATGGATCAAATCTGAAACTGCTTTACGTGACGTTTTAGGGTTAACATCATACAGTATGACGGGTGATTGGAAGACTCTACAAGGAGATATTTTTTCAGAAGTCATGCCCTTTTCCCATTTCCGCTAGGAACATAAACTTTGTTTGTTGAGAATTTTCATTGAACATTATCGTTGCATACACTATTTCTTTACGAAAATGAAAATTAAAATTCATTTCGAAGTCTCTGGTAGTAGTCCATGCTTGAATTGGAGGTGATGAGATAATTAAGAGAACAAACTCAAAGTCCCGCTCCAAGTAAATTTTAATAAAATAATACGTGCTACATGTTTCGACTCCTAGGAGTCATCATCAGGCTTGCTAGGTAGGAGGAGAAAGGAAACTATAGAAATGATAACATGGTTCGTAAGGGTTTTAGGCCCCAAATAATTCGAAGTATTTATATATTTCAACATCTCCAGTCCCTGAATTGCCTGTACTTTTGACGCGTTGTGAATGAATTCCCAGTTGAAATTAAATTTCAAACAACTCGAAGAAGTATGTATAGACACGCATGTACCACTTGATTAACCCCAAGTACATGTTTTCAGTAGCAAAAATTACGTTTCATAATGAAAAGTAAGTGTTTTCATTGGCCAAAATCTGTTTCATAATGAAACTCTGTATTAAAACAAACAATATTGATAAATCGGTAGCAGATATTCAATTCGCATGTTGCAATATAGGGGTAGAAAATACTATTAATTGGCTTTGCATAGAGCTTTATAGAAATAATAGTGAGTGTCTTCAGATGTATTTTGAATTACATGTACATACATATATCATGAATAATTTTATAATGTTTATAGTGAGTTTGAATCTCATGATATAAACTAAAACCCTCATCATTCTCACGCTCAGAACAACGGCATTACTCACTATTTGAATTTTAGTATAGGCATATTTTTTAATTGCCGATTCTAAATATGTATTATTATTTTATTTTCAGTTGATAATTGGAAACTTTGGTCTCAGCTATGAACAAAGCAAAACCCAGATGGCATTATGGGCCATACTAGCAGCACCTCTTCTGATGTCGGTAGATTTGAGAAATATAAGGCCAGAATACAAAGCCATTTTACAAAACAAGAAAATTATAGCTGTGGATCAAGATCCCTTGGGAATACAAGGAAGAAGAATATACAAGGTAACCATGCCCTATATGAAATTCATCAGTGTATCAAAATAATTCTGTAATACTTATTGATACAATAATGAGTGAGAATTCGTATTCACAATTCTGAGTTGTATAGTGGTATAATTGCCAATTTTGTTTGATTTGATTTGGACATATACCGGGTGATCAAGATTCTGAATTCTGCACCACCCTGTATTTGTTTCAATTAAATTTCAGTAGATAGTTGATCAAAAGTTGAGATAGGGACATGTGAGCCGTTTTGACCAATGATGAATAGTTTCGACACAAAAAAATTCTAAAGTTGAAAAATGTCGGTTTTTCACACCCTATATCTCTGTAATCATTTCCGCAAGACCCCAAGTGTGATACATCGATGAAATCAGCTCTTCAGGGAGAATCTAAAAATGCAATAGAATACAGAGTGTTCCATTTGAAAAATCAAAGTTGCTACTGCTTTCTAATAGAAGCGGCAACACCGCATTGTCGAAAATATTTTAGTTGGCTAGAGAATGTCCGAATATGCCCTCCATTGGATTTTAAAAATGATTCGTTGTCTGGTTCACCAGAAACGTCTAATGTGCCATCCACCGTGAATCAGCCTGTATACACTCACATTCCATTATTTATGTTTCGTATGGTTGGTGTGATTCAGATGAGAATAAATAGCTGTACTAATATTCAGAATGATCGGTTAAAATATTCTAAAAGTATGATGATAATATATTGATGATCAATATATCAAATATCAATATATCAAATCTAGCGCCTTCCGATTTAATTGCATCCTAAAAAAATTTATACATGTGAATAACCTCATAAAAACTATAAGATTCCACAAAATTCTTAATAACATGTTGTACATTATGTTCCAATGGCATATCTCATTCATTACAGGAGATGAATAATAGGAATTTTCATGGTTCGATATAAACACCTTCACACCACCGGAAGCGAATCTAACTTTCTTATTTCAAATGACACCCTGTATATACAGTGTGAGCGATTTCAACCCGCAACACCCTCTCAAATTGAAACCCTGCAACCAATTTTCAAATACAAAAATTCCATAATATAGTAGGTAGTCAACCAGCTGTCTTTGGAAATTTGGAAAAATCTGAAATATTCATATTTTCCCTACCTTAGTTTGTTGAAAGGGTCAAAATTTCAAAACAACTATTAGGAAATTTTTTATCGAAACAGTGACTAGCCTATTAGATTTTGGCATAGCTGAAATACCCCTATACAAAATTTGAACGTGATATCTCATATATGGTGTTAGCGTTATTCAATGGCAAATTTTGATATTTTAAATTTTTTGATTCACCCTGTATCAAAATCAAAGGAGTTGATATAGCCGGTGAAGTAGTCATTCAATCGAGGAAGGAATACATCGAATACTTAGATACGAAGTTTCATCATTGTAACTCCTACAGGAAGATCTCTCTAGGTCAACCAAAAATTAATGAAATTGAAGTTGAAAAATGTTTTTTTCTCCGATTGGCAGCAAATATCAATTTTGCTGACACATATCAATCAGCAAAGTATTACTTTTCCTGCCTAGGCAAAGCAAAGCTGATTGATATGTATCAGCAAAATTGATAATCCATAAATCGTTTATAATTTCCTTCATATTTCATCCGAGACTTCTCCGGCAACAAATGCAACTCTATATTTTTGCCACCTCCCTTATTTCTGGAGGTTCAAGTACTTCCAGGTCGCTATCACTGTCCACTATATAATAATTTAAATATACCGATATTTTTTCGCACAACTGTCAGAAATTTCATGAATTGTCAAACTATAATTATTATGGACATTTCCATAGCAACCAACCATTTCAACAACTGCGATTTCTATCAAATTTTATTTTAATTGAACACTACAGGAAAAATAAAGAGATATATATCATTATGAACAATCGGAGAAAAAATTATATGTCCAACTCGGCAGCAAAGTAGAATGACTGCCTTAGCTGGATTCCTAGCCTCGCTACGCTCGGCTATGAATTCAGCCTCGGCAGTCAATCTACTACTTTGCTGCCCAGTTAAACAAATAACTATATTATGATTCATATCTTTTTTCCTGGAAAAATAAATAATAGTAACGAATTCGAGGAAATATTCTCCATACATAAGAATATTCATTGTCTACTAAAATGTTCCTTCAATTCCACCAAAAACGGTATATTATTATGATTACATTACTTATCAGTATATCACCTTGCAGTCTTTGGAGAGTGTTTGTCTGTCATTCTATTTGTGTCATATTCCACAGGTCTTCATCAATCGAGACAATTTTCGAATTAATTGTGTGGTGAAGTGTGTGAAAAACGGTTTAGTTGAGTTTTCACAATGGTGAACCTCAACTTTAGTTTTATTGATATTTGGTTGACCTATAGAAACATCTTCCTGTAGAACTTATACAATGATGGAACTTTCTTATCAGAGTATTCTATATGTTTCTTTATTGAATGACCACCTCTCCGGTAATATCAACTCCTTAGATTTCATAACAGGGTGATTGGATAAAGCCTTATAGTCGTTTTAGAAATGTTGACTCCTTAGACAAAGAAAAGTAGGCATTGAAAATCTGAATATTTCAGATTTGTTCACATTTTCAAATAGAGTACTATATTATGGAATTTTCGGTCGACGAGTTCCAAATTAGGAGGGTGTTGCCGGTTGAAATCGCACACACTGATTTTTTTTCAATTTTTGATTCCCACTTGAAGTTACCTTTCTAACGATCAGTATAACACTTTGTATTCTAGTTCCAAGAGAGTGAAAGCATCATTTGAAATTTCAAATTAAAAGAAATTAGTTTTTGTAACCTACCGACTGCAATACTTTCAATTTGAAATTTCGAATAACGTGTTTTCATATTTTGGATGTACACAGTGTTTTACATTATATAAAGTGAATATGTATATACAGGGTGAGCCATTAGTGTGGCAAAGTGAGATAAAAGCTTTACTGTTTGAGATAGATGAACACTAATCTCAGAGATGATCTAGGATCATGAGCAGCACATTTTTAAATTATTTCGCTTTATACAGGGTGACTCAGAAATGCGTGACGTATCAAAGTTATACTTTCTCTTATGGGAAACTCTGTAATTCATAGCATTCTTGCATTCTCCTTCGTGAGCTGATTTCATCAATGCATCACACTTGGGGTCTAGCGAGAATGATCACAGAGATATAGGGTGTTCAAAATCGAGATTTTTCAACTTTAGGAGTTTTTCGCCTCGGGTCTAGCGAGAATGATCACAGAGATATAGGGTGTTCAAAATCGAGACTATTTATTATTGGTCAAAACGGCTTTTATGTTCCTATTTTAACTTTCGATTTATCTACTGACATTCAATTGGAATAAATACAGGCGGGTGGTTCAAGATTCAGCATTCTGATCACCCTTGTATCTGTTCCAATTAAAGGTCAGTAGATAGTGAATCAAAAGTTGGGATAGGGACATGAAAGCCGATTTGACCAATAATGAATAGTTTTGACGCAAAAAATCCTGAAAATGAACAATGTCGATTTTGAACACCCTATATCTCTGTAATCATTCTTGCTAGACCCCAAGTGTGATGGATTGATTAAATCAGCTCACAAAGGAGAATGCTAAAATGCAATGAGATACAGGGTGTTCCATGAGAAAAAGTATAACTTTGATACGCCACGCATTTCTGAGTCACCCTGTATAAAGCAAAATAATTCGGAAATGTGCTACTCATGATCCTAGATCATCTCTGGAATTTTTGTTCATCTATCTCAAACAGTAATGCCGTTATTTCACTCTGCCACACTAATGACTCACCCTGTATATGCCATTTGAAATTATATAAAGTAATAAGAGTTATAGGTACTTTCGATTGGACCGGTTAAATCGGAAGTAACTTCCGATTTTCAATCTGTTCAAATGAATGACTCTTATTCTGTTCATATCGAATCGTGGAAGTTTCAATTCTTCTTCTTCTTCTGTACCGAAGACTCTATTCGAACAAGTGAGTATATTGGGATTTCCGGCATGGGTTTTTGTCACTGTCTAAACTGAAGTATGTAAGGAATTCGATATCATTCGCATCTGTTTTCGCGTCACTAACATTGCCGTTGCCATGCAGAAACCATGAAATATATCCTAGAATTACTTTCTTTCAAGTACCTACAATTTTTTTTCATTTTGTTTTAGCACAAAGGCATCGAAATATGGTCAAGGCCTATAACGCCTCTATTCCAGAATTATTTCTCTTATGCCATAGCCTTCATCAATAGGAGAACAGACGGGACACCATCTGATGTAGCTGTAACGCTCAAAGAGTTGGGGCTAACATCACCTACGGGATACAGAGTAGAAGTGAGTGTATATACATATATTTTTATTATTTTTCAACTTGGTACTTGTGCACGATAACTGTTTCGTAGCACTATGAAAATATTAGTCAGCGATACAAAAGTTCAGTTCGAATTCGATCATTTCGTTCACATGATATTTATTATATTTGTATATATCAGAAAATCAAGCTAGTTACTGAAAGGCTCTGGAAATCACACGTTGAGGCACTTGGGTTGCGTGCAAGATTCTATCAGACGATCGACCCTGGAGATAAAACATGGAAACACAACCTCACTCTTCTTATTTGTTCACAGACGGAAGATTGAAATAGTTTTTCACAATTATTTTGGCATACGAATCGTGTTTTTCGGCTATTAATTAACTCCAGCATGCCATCACGTTGTGTTGTTGTTCAATGCACACAAAATGCAGCGAGAGACGAAGGAATGCGATTTTTCAGGTAAGTACATCGTGATCTAAAAGTACTATAGTCACTCACATATAGATTTAACTTTGAAATTTTGTCATTTCTTATTCAGATTCCTTCAGTAATAGAAGCTAATACAAATACTCGTCTCTGAAAGAACGCGCAAGAAGATTGGAGGATTCATGCAATCAAACGGGAGGACTGGTCTGACAAAATATGATCGTGTGTGATTTTGTAGATATGTTTACTCAATTAGTAGTGATAGCTTTCATTGCAGAAGTGGTATAAGGAATTCTAATGAGAAACGACAAAATTTCATGATGAAAACTATGTGAGCAGATCACTATTCACCTAAAGAATCATATATTCATTCGTCTCTCACTGCATTTTTTGTGCAACAACATCATAATGTGATGGCATTCTTGGGTTGATGAATAGCCCAAAAAACACGATTCACATGCCAATATCGTGAATAGTATATTACAACAGCAAGGTGGGAAGTGATTCATTCCTGTCGTGAGATTAGTTAGTTAACCGAGACGCAAAGCGTCGAGGTTACCCAGGTAACAAGCTGACGTCATTTGTACGTCAATATATGGTCATTTATGGTCATTGACGTCATATGACCTCAAAATGACGTCATTTTGACGTACTCAATATGACGTTATATAGACGTCCTTGATATGTCGTCATTATGACGTCATCTGATGGTCATTTCCATGACTAATTATGACCATCATTTATTGAGTCATCTACATCAAGGAAAATCCATAATCAAGAAGTTTCCCATCTCTGTTATATGAAAACGTTAGTAGTTATGTTATATAACATATATTATTATGTCACTCATCATATATTATGCTTCATAATAATTTTTCCTCTAATCTGTGCGAGATGTGTGTTTTCGATGGTATCTGAGATAATTGTTAATTATATACCTTCTGTGCAAAGTATTCTTCCTATAGCTATTAAAAATATAAGACCGAATGTCACGTCATAAAAAGCTTATAACGTTGTTATTCCGGAATGCGAATTCAAATCAGAGCGGGAGAGTGCGTAGAGAACTGTATTTGATTGGTCGGCACGGACCTTGCGCAGACATGCGAACGTCGACCGCCAGCGCCAACCCACAGCCGTATTCAGAAGACGGCTGTGGCCAAGCCGTTCACTTTCGCTTCGCCGTTGCGGCCATGATGACCATAACAACAAAATAACAATACATAGAAGGCCATCATTATCATGTTATTCGGCTATCTATGTGGTGTGGTGTGGTGGTATCATACTTATTCATATTCATATATCAAGTAGTAGAATTTGAGGATGGCAGCATGGTCATTATTTTAGACAAGTGGTGTATGCCGAAAAAGCAGAATGTGAATTGGACGCCATTGAAGGAATACCATGGGGTTCTGAGAAATTTCTTGAGTGCATCATCCGAATGGGATAAGTTCCCAATAAAAAGAACATTTTATGAAACTGGTATTTATAGTACCTACCTATAATATTATTTTGCATTTAATGTGGTGAAGGAACATCAATAAAATTATACAAAAAAATCTCATCTTTTCTGATAATATTGATACAACCCTAATGCAACAGTGTTTTTTTTACCTACAGAAAATTTCGAAATAGTACAAAATAAACTGAAACATGCAGAAGATTTCAGTGATATAAATAATCGTAAAGATCACGTCATTTTGACGCCATTAGGATGTCGTCATTTTGACGTCATTAGGATGACGTCATTTTGACGACATGAAAATGACGTCATTCGTCTTCGACTTAGAAGGTCATATAAACGTCATTATGACGTCATTTCGGAAGTCATCCTGACGTCAGGCCTGACGTGATAATGACGTACAAATGACGTCAGCTTGTTACCTGGGTAGCTATAATTTCTAGACAGGAATGAAACTTCCTTATACCGAGGTTTGTATACTATTTTATTTACAACCGTCATATTTCGATCAAAATTAATAAATCTATCTTTCGTTCTGAACATACCTGAATTATTACATGAGTGAGGGCGGGGAGTAGTGAGGGGCGGCAAGTGATGGCGGGAAATAGAGGTGTCGTGTAATTTGACACTTCCCAACCTTCAATGACGTTAGTGATGACAACATTACATATATAGTTGTAAATGAAAACTGTTTCAATCCTTTGTAAACAAATAAAAAAAGTGAGGTTGAATTTCAATGTTTTACCTCCAGGGTCGGTCATCGCTCACGCGACCTATGACATCACAAGTTTTGCTCTATTAAAACTTCATCCGGATATTTCAGAAAACATGTCAACTACGGTATTTCCTACGACTATATCTTCAATTCAATTTCCTTATCCGATAACACGATGACATCGTGTTATTATTTCACAATAAATGTCATCTCCCATGAAATGTCAAATTTCAAGCAATGACAGTACTGTCTAATAGAGCATATATTACTCAAGAGAAAGTCATAATTATGGCTGTACAAGCCGAAGAAATAAGAAATTTCGCTATCATCTGTTATATACAGCCGTAGAAAAAGTATAGGTAGTGCATAACTCGCACGCAGTGTTGCCGGACGCCCCGAATGGAACTCTCCAGCTGACCAACAAAAAATCACGGTTTTATACCATATAGGTATCTGTCCTTTGATCAACGGTTTTATTTCTTTGTTCATCACATTTGCGGAAAAATGATATAAACGATATCTGTGTAACCTTCATTCGTTCAGTTTAGTGGAAAAGGGTGGTCGTGAGCAGAAAAACATAAAATAACTAGTAGAACACAAGGACATTTGAATTTCGAAAATGGAACAACGTTTAGCCAGTTTGGGACAGATCGACAAAACGTGAGAATCATTAGATTATCTTTTACAAACTTTATTTTTTAGTTTCATGTTCTATGGTCAGTGTTCTCACCAATTCATTTCAAAAACGTACTATTAACAAGAACATCTCCAACACCATTGATTTCCCAAAAATTTCCCGAAATAACTAATTTCCAGCAGAAATTCTCGAATGTCTTAAAAATACCGAAATTCGGGAAATGATAATTTCCCATTGATTTGCAGCATTCGCTTACGGCTCATATGCTGCCAACTTCATTCTCGTGGGAAATTGCTATTATTTTGTGCTCGTTGAATAAGGGGACCATATTTGTACTGGTTTTACCAGTACAGTCCCAAATTGTGAGCCTTATGTCCTAGTTAGACTTCAAATGTACTGGTTTGGGAGCATATAAACAAAATTGTAAATCAACGAACTAGCCTTAATGTTAAATAAATACAAAAAGCTCAACGTCATTTCCACACAATGTTCATAAAATGAACAACAATGGTAGATTTCGGGAGAGAAACAACTACTTTCCTGACTAATGCCAAGCAGAACATTGAATTTCATCATCTCGAACTCTATGCATCGACTCGTATAAACGAATACTGATACAATAAGTAATAAGTGATTCTTTCCTGAATGTCTATTGATTTCGATTGGCCTGGCACCAAAAGACATGATTCGATGTCATGAATAACAGTTCAGGAGTTCCAGCAGAGAATTTCGGGTTACTGAGATATGACATATAACCACGATGTAATGCATATAACGGTCTAGATGGTAGTTATGTCAGTGGAGTAATCTGGCAGGAGTACAGCAAGAATCGTAATAAGGGGTTTACTTCGCGGTATGATTGGTGGCGATTTCAGACATTACGCCTCAACATTTTTTTCAGATATCCCATATTTTTGTATGATTGATTTTGAAAAATATCATCAATTAACGTATTATAATGATAATGACTACAATAATTCAATTTTATAAATTGTCTAGCATTACAATTAATGGCGGATAAAGTGCTCGATCGATAAACTTTCACATAATAATTATGTAATTAGAGTATTTACTAAAATAAACGAATGGCATGAACCTTGAAGGGAACCTGAAATCATGAATAATTATTGGAGAATCATTGATGTCAATAGGCCAAATAAAAATGATTAAATGGAAATAGCAATATACAGGGTTGCCAATATATTTAACGGTAAAATAAAAGATAGCAGGCTCTTAGACTCAAAATAGAATGATTGGATAAAACTTTCCAATGTTCAACGTAGCTTCGTTCTGCCGCTAGATGGTCTCGTGGACATCTCTCTACAACGGGTTCAAATAATTATATAGTGTGATTTTCCTTCGGAATGATGGCGAGTAAACAAAAGAGTCGTCAAGTAGAAATGACTAATATGATAAATATCACTTGACGTGCAACATTATCTGAGAGTGGAATACTGTAGGTACAGTCGTATTCAATAAAAAAGCGTACAAGTATTCAACATAGAAGATTTCGGCATTCTAGTTCTCGTTGTGTAAACTCAGCCAATGCTTTATGTTTTCAAGAACCTACGATTACTCTATTGTCAACATTTGGTAAACATTCATTCCCGATAGCCCGTTCAACGCAAATATACCCAGCTAACACAGATACATCTCTGAGATATCGCTGCGATGCCACTTCGTGACATGCGACTCGCATCGTTACGTCTCACGGACGTCCCAGCGACTCACTTTTGTCACACTCATGATGCATGCTTGCGACGTCTATGCTATGTAGTTCTGAGATGTAGTAAGGATGTCGCCTAATAACGTATCAGGGATGTAGCACAGCGACTTAGCGTCGATGTAACACAGAGACTTAGCAGCGATATCTTTACTGTTATATTCAAGAGACGTCAACGTCTATACGATTTTCCAAAAACAAACAACAAATAGAAATACAAAATATATTTTCAATAAAGAAAAAATATATAAATTCACAATAAAAATATGAATAAAATCTCTTCAAACCATAAAAACACTAGCATAACCTCAAATTATTTACAAAGTACAAAATATATTCACAATGAAAATATAAATCATATCTCC